AATTTCGGTTTGATATTATTATTATTATTCTTATTATTTGTAACTTTTTTATATAGTGTATACTAATTAAATTTATATTATATCTTAATCATGCTTGTTTACTCGTACTCTGTCAACACCTTATCGACTTATCCGCGACCCCCCACTCGATTTTCGCCCTCCTAAATTGCCATCCACTGACCCTGTGAGCGGGACTCACTTTCCCGTTGTCGGAAAACAATTCAACTTTGATGCTTAAACCCCGATTCTTACACTATGTCATATGTAACTTACTGTTATATTATATGGGATACCAAGTCGTTATCCTTCGTGTAACCATATAACCTATTTTGTTTATAACCCTATAATAATAATCAATGTAAAGTAAGTGTAATATCTACTCAGAAAAATCCCACCTGTCAATAGATGGTGTGATTTTTGAAAGGAAGGAAGTGGTGTGATAATCCGGAGGGACTGTTAAAATGAATTACATAATTTTCACCCTAAATACATTTAAATAAATAATTTACTTAAATTTTCACTTAAAATGTTTATAAATAATAAAACTTAGGAATAAAATTAATATAACCTGTAAAGGTAATAAACTTCAACAACCTGTAAAAACTGCTCTATCACGATACATTTAGCAAGAAATGAGGATGTTTTGCTTCCTTCCTCCACACCTTTTATCTTAGAATTTTGCACACCATCTAGTCAATTGACACATAATTTCTGATAATAATGATGATGCAGAAAACAATGATAAAAAGGGTGGCTTGAATACACTCGGGGCAGTTCAACTAAGAGAAGGACGTGCCATATGATTTGATGATATTGACTTGATCAAGTCAATATCATCAAATCATATGGCACTCCTCTGAATGCCCTCATCAAATCATGGCTACTCCTCTGAATCCCCTGTCTATAAATAGAGTCATGCTCCAAACAAGACCAAGGTATTATTGGTTTAAATTGATTGTAAGCTCGCTCTCTCGGTTGTAAAGATTGATCCTAGGCTAACGATAGGATATAATTCATGTATTTTCCATATTACTCATCTGTATGTTTATTATCTGTGTTATTGTTAATTCTTATTAAATTGTCGATTTCTATATAAAGAGGACTTTCCTAGTCTCATTATTTATTCCTTATGCACAACCCCACACAGAATCTTACCACTCGGGTTCTGTAGAAATAAGCCATCCAGTGACAAAGTGAGCAGGTCTAACAGATCTGACGATTAGAGGGCCTTGACCCTCGTCCGTATGATCACACAAGCACACATCTGACATCTGACATCTGACATCGACATAGCTCTTACATTATAATTGGTTATTTTATTATTAAGTAACTTACGTGCAACAAAGTTTGATAGTAATTCAAAGTTTGAAACATTAAATTTAATTATTGTTATAGTTTAGATTTAAAATTTGTTCCAGATTTACGACTATTTACAACGCATATGGAGATATTGTCACAACTAAACAGTTATGTCTGACTGAGTGTGCTTTAAACAAAATAAACACACAACATTGATGTTCTGATACTGAATTAATCACATTAAATTAAATCAATAATCAAAGTAATAATGAAAGTATATTGTCAGAGTGGTATTCCTTTACAACTGAATTATTAAATCAGCATATGGTTGACAGATCATGAAATACATAATTCTACTGCTGAATCTCTACCTGACAAATAGTTTAACACAACAATTCGATTGTAGACAAAAAGCAGTATTTGTATTATTAAATTTTGTTTTTCGATTCATATTATTTAGAAACTCAACTGAAAAGCCTTAAAATACACGCCATTAATACTAACAGGATTTGCTCACAAGGAGAGCCTACGGCTTTGGGGTAACGGATTTTGACAATCTTTGGTGTAGAAGTAGTACATCATGTGAGTGTACTACCTGTAAAATACTAAAGTGCAATACTCAAATATAATCAAGAAAATCGAGCTTAAAGTTTTTTAGCACTTTATATATAAATTATACGTACAGTACTTCTATTTGACTGTCCTGTGGCAGAGTGGTAACGAGTCCGATTCATAAGCTTGAGTTCTCGGGTTCGATTCTCGCGTATAATTTTTTTTTAATTCATAAATACTTATAATGTATTTATTTATTTACTCATTCATTTATTTCTTATTATTTATTTATTTTAATTTAATTTCTACTATTCCAAGTCTAATATTTTTATACTTTTGTTGACAATAACGGCGCATTCTTGACACCTATGTGTCAACTTTCCCATCTAATTGTTATCACTAACGGTGACCGATCTAATTCTCACTAGGAGCGTTTTTTCTATCGGAGTTCTTTTTCACTCACTCTTTAACAGTTCGTTTCTAAATTTCGACACGAATAGACGTATTTGTGTAGTAAAACTTATTTTGAAAAATTATTTTATAATCGAAAAATGTCGTCAAGAGAAGCAAGTTCTTCACGTTGTGACGAAAAAACTGTTGATGATACCTTTTAAAAAAGCAGCATTTATTTGTTGTTCTTGGTGTAGACAGAATTTTTGTTTTGAATGTTTTTATCATAAGTATCATTCACGATCATGTACATCTGACAATGATATGTAATTATATAATATTGCTTCAATAAATTATATTCGTTTTTCTTGGTTATATTTGAGTTTTGCACTTTACAAGTTAGTATTTTACATCACTGTATAAAAAGTTATCATCAACAGTTTTTTCGTCACAACGTGAAGAACTTGCTTCTCTTGATGACATTTTTCGATTATAAAATAATTTTTCAAAATAAGTTTTACTACACAAATACGTCTATTCGTGTCGAAATTTAGAAACGAACTGTTAAAGAGTGAGTGAAAAAGAACTCTGATAGAAAAACGCTCCTAGTGAGAATTAGATCGGTCACCGTTAGTGATAACAATTAGATGGGAAAGTTGACACATAGGTGTCAAGAATGCGCCGTTATTGTCAACAAAAGTATAAAAATATTAGACTTGGAATAGTAGAAATTAAATTAAAATAAATAAATAATAAGAAATAAATGAATGAGTAAATAAATAAATACATTATAAGTATTTATGAATTAAAAAAAAAAATTATACGCGAGAATCGAACCCGAGAACTCAAGCTTATGAATCGGACTCGTTACCACTCTGCCACAGGACGCTCAAATAGAAGTACGTATAATTTATATATAAAGTGCTAAAAAACTTTAAGCTCGATTTTCTTGATTATATTTGAGTATTGCACTTTAGTATTTTACAGGTAGTACACTCACATGGTGTACTACCTCTAAACCAAAGATCATCAAAATCCGTTACCCCAAAGCCGTAGGCTCTCCTTGTCAGTAGTTTCTAAAACGGATTATACTTAATTAAGTTTTAATAATGTATGTATCATCCTTTACTAGAAAGTCACTACTGTAAAGTAAGATCATCTGATTTTAAATGGGTCTTCAAAGAATTTAATTAACTGGAAAAAAAACCATTTTATAAACACTGTCGTGAAATTTTCTCTACAAAAGTCAAATATAGAAAAACCTTCAGACTCCGGATAAAAATATTTTTGTTAAAAAATTCAAATACATTCATATATTTTTTAGACTGGCCCATAGAACAACGTTTCTCTTCTGTGGTTAAGAGATTTGTTTTAAATACTACTTCAACTTATTATCTGTTTAAATTATTCACTCGATGTGGTAAACGTATGTGAAGTTTTGCGAGGGTTTAAATATATTATTTGATAAATATTTTCATAATAATAATTTCCCATATTAATTGTCACGTATTATAAATGATATTTAAATTATGTTACGTAGAGTTTCAACAACTAATTTCCTATTACAAAAACTTTAATACAATACAAAAAAAGTCTATTCTTGCGTTAAATATAATGAATGTTTTTTCCCGCATCTATTGAGTGATTATTTGTATATTTAATAAATATTTCCGTCAATTAGGTACAAATACAAGTTTTTAAGTATTTATTTTCAAGTACAAATATAATGAAGTTTAATTGTATGCTAGTGTGATGCCTTTACTTTTTTTGCCTTTGCATTTTCTATTAATTTATCTCATCTACAATTATGTGCACTGAGTTTGTAGTATTACTCATAAAATCTATACATCGATCAGATAGTATATACTATATACTTCAAGGTAAAAAGGTTTGGCGTGTTATATTTGTTCGGAAAACCATGAAGTTTCGTCAAAATGCAAACAACAGTGACGTAAAGATTCGTCACTAATATAAGTCTAACTTAAAATGCTTTTTCATGTACATAATATTCTACAAAAATATGCAAAGGAAGAATTGCTTACGAAATGATAAATATATTTATTTTGCAACTAATTACTACCCTTTCTTCAATTGAACTGAAACTGCTGTTAAAGATTAAATCAAGTAAATTCTTCAAAATCATCCCTGAAGATAAATTAGTAGTAAAAACAAATTTGGGTATAAAAGTTAAGATCTATGCATAAAATCATATGTAAAGATGACATTTCCCAGGAGTTTCTTCAATTTGAAGTAATGGAGACTCACATAAAAATATAATTTTAAAGTCTTTTAATTCTCCTGTTTTCACCAAATCAGAAGTAACAGTGAAATAACTTGAAGAAACAAAAAGACATCAAAGAATAGTCCATTAAAAATTATCACAAAGTTAAAATATGATCAAAAGCCGACCTTTTATTACAGGCTACAGCACTTTCACAATAAAACAATGATTAAAACTTTCACAATTTCTACATGTCTTGTAGCATATTTGACCACATCTAGCCCTCTGGTGGTCCTTTTGGATAATAATGAAAATACTTTGCATAAAGTCATACCTAAAGATGACATTTCCCAGGAGTTTCTTCAATTTGAAGAAATGGAAACTCACATAAAAATATAATTTTAAAGGAGTTTAAAATTATATTTTTATGTGAGTCTCCATTACTTAAATTTAAAATAGTTGCTGATGTGTCTGCTTTTTTTTTTTAATTTAGCATTTAGAACTTAACTTTTTTTTTTTTTTAAGTTAGGATGTTTGATTTAGGATTTTAATAAAGTTTTACTTAAGTGTATAAAAAATATTCTTTTTTCATTTAAGTAAATTCAATTATTATCTTTAGATATTTGTGAAATGATCAGTATCAATGAAGTAGGTTTTCAAACTAACAAAATTAAATGTTAATAAGCAGATGTAATTGATTATTATTGATAATTTGTTTACTATTATTATTTTCTCTTAATAGTGAGGTCATTGGTCCAGCATCAGATGGAATTTTAATGGCCTTTTTGGAATTTCACAGTCAGCCATAATACTATCAGAATTTTGTGCTGTTGCTGTATATGTATAACCCATCATCTTAAAATAAAAATAATAAGACTAAATTATGAAATTATTTCCCCCCCCCAGATTTTAACTACATTTCCTCTATTATGTTTGAAGATTCCAATCATCATAAAGCAGTAAATGAAAAAACACCATTATTATAAGATAATTATAGCAGATAATTATTTTTAAAGTAAAATACCATATAAATAATCAAGTACTCAAATATATCAAAACAAATATCCCACATGCAGAACAACTATTAAGTTAATGCTGTCACCTTTTGTCTGAAACTTTTGTCTATTGTTTCTGTTTCATTAATTTTAACTTTAAAATCAGGGATTTTTATCGCCTTACTTTTGTTCTGTGTTAGGTTGAGATCATACTTCATCTTTTTAGATTCACAGGCCTCTGTAGTTTTGGGTTTAGGACCTCGTTTCTTTGAACTTTTTTTTTCTGTAGTCAAAATCGCATTCTAAAATTAGTTTTATAAAAATCATATTTCTAAAGTACATTTGTTAATATTAAAATAAAAATTACTTACCTTCAGAAGACATGTTTTTTTCTTTTTAGATGACTTCATATAGGAGAAGAATCAATGAGTGAAGTCGGAGGAAAATCTCCTCTTTTTTATTCTCTGTTCTTGACCCTGATTTTTGTTAGAGAAATCAGTATTTTAATATAAAGTAGACAGCATATTACAACAAAATTTATATAGAAACATAATTAGCATGTATGACATCTATAAAATTTCAAATTTTTTGTATTACAGCTTTAACTGTATACAAGATTAAAAATGTTCTATTTCTGGTCTAAACTAAATTGTGTACTTCATAGTTTTATCATAAATTTACAGAAAGTAATAGCCTTAATAGAAGTCCACTGCACTACTAATAATTGATACAACAGTATGTGACATGGTCTATAGTCATGCAATACAAATAATTAAAGTAAGGGATAAGTTAAAAAGTTGAATAAAATCCATTTTTAACCTACACCTCTACATTTTTTTGTTTAACATTTTAGAATACAAACATAAAAAAAGGATTTGTTGAAACTAGAAATCTAAATACTAGAAAATAAATGAGTTTTCTGACTATCTACATCAACCCAAAATCATAACAACACAAAGCCCGAGTAGTATACAATAAATCACTAAACGATCGCCTAAATATCGGCCTATAATATGGCTAATTAAATGATTGGTATAAAGTAATTTGACATTAGAGGTAGACGTTACGCGCCATCTCTTAAGTAAATTAATAATTATAAATAATTATTATTATTTATTTATAATATTATTTAGCCATATTATAGCCCGATATTTAGGCGATCGTTTGGTGATTCATCAACCCAAAAGAATAGTTACAAGAAAAGGGTTTATTAAAATATGTACTGTACATTATGGTAAATAATATGCATGATAAAATTTTATATTTTGTCATGTTTATTGTGTTTTAGAATAGGGAAGATAGTGGAGGTGAAGTCATTAAAATGCAGTCATCAGATTTAGAAGGCTGAAACTTTGAGGAGACAACACACAAGTTAAATAAAAGCATTTAATAAAAAAAATAGATATATATATATATACATTTTTTATGGTTGTTTTTTTAAAAATATTATGGTTGTTTTTTTTAATGAGCATTTTCAATATTTGAGCTATATATATAGCTCAAATATTGAAAATGCTCATTAAAAAAAAACAACCATAATACATTCTCACTTCTCAGATCTAGCCACAATGCATTTTTGCATATCCAATAAGACTACAGAATGAAATTCATGTCATATTCTTTTAATAAACTAAAACACAATCTGGCAATGTAAAAATGCCACAATGCTTTGTGAACATGGCTGCATTAATATCTGTGTAAAAATTTGTTATGTATTTTTGCACAGATATTTTTAATAATTTATGTATAATTTCTTCCAAAGGACTAAAGTACCCTTAAGAATTCTGAACAATGTTTATTATTAGAAAAATACTCATTAGTGAAAGTTATCACCAAAGATTATATGATTAAAAATCAATAGTAATATAAAATTTCTTTTATAAAATTATAAAAGAATATTTGCTGTCAATTGTTTTGTTTATGAATCCTTGATACTTACATATGATACCTAAAAAGATATTGTAGATTTAAGTCACTTTGTCAACTGATTGCAAATTTATTTTCAATAATGACTCTCCCGTAGAGACTAACTCCAAACAAATTTTTGTATTAATTAGTATTAGTAAAAAGTAATGATAAATAGAAGTTATCTTAAAAATTTAAGGTTTAGACAAGATTAACAAGGCTAACTTTTCATTTTCAGTATACAGTAGAGCGTCATTTATCCGAAAGAATTCCAGTCAGCAAATTTAAATTTTCGCTAGTGCTGTGGCGCTGCAATCTTTGGCTATATCTTGGGCTACTCCAATATTTTTTATGTTTGTGTATGTGTTTTAGCTGGAAGCACTGTCACTTTTGTGTGGTGTTTTTCTGAGGACTGTGTCGTGTTCAATCGAAAGTTTTTAATACTAGATAACTTCTAAAGTATAATTTTTTTTGTTTTTATATTTTTAAATATATTTATTTTGTTTGTAAAAAATAAAGAAATAATTTTTAANCTCACTTCTCAGATCTAGCCACAATGCATTTTTGCATATCCAATAAGACTACAGAATGAAATTCATGTCATATTCTTTTAATAAACTAAAACACAATCTGGCAATGTAAAAATGCCACAATGCTTTGTGAACATGGCTGCATTAATATCTGTGTAAAAATTTGTTATGTATTTTTGCACAGATATTTTTAATAATTTATGTATAATTTCTTCCAAAGGACTAAAGTACCCTTAAGAATTCTGAACAATGTTTATTATTAGAAAAATACTCATTAGTGAAAGTTATCACCAAAGATTATATGATTAAAAATCAATAGTAATATAAAATTTCTTTTATAAAATTATAAAAGAATATTTGCTGTCAATTGTTTTGTTTATGAATCCTTGATACTTACATATGATACCTAAAAAGATATTGTAGATTTAAGTCACTTTGTCAACTGATTGCAAATTTATTTTCAATAATGACTCTCCCGTAGAGACTAACTCCAAACAAATTTTTGTATTAATTAGTATTAGTAAAAAGTAATGATAAATAGAAGTTATCTTAAAAATTTAAGGTTTAGACAAGATTAACAAGGCTAACTTTTCATTTTCAGTATACAGTAGAGCGTCATTTATCCGAAAGAATTCCAGTCAGCAAATTTAAATTTTCGCTAGTGCTGTGGCGCTGCAATCTTTGGCTATATCTTGGGCTACTCCAATATTTTTTATGTTTGTGTATGTGTTTTAGCTGGAAGCACTGTCACTTTTGTGTGGTGTTTTTCTGAGGACTGTGTCGTGTTCAATCGAACGTTTTTAATACTAGATAACTTCTAAAGTATAATTTTTTTTGTTTTTATATTTTTAAATATATTTATTTTGTTTGTAAAAAATAAAGAAATAATTTTTAATGATTCAATAGCTACGATTATTATTTTAAAAAGTTTACATTAGACTTAACATCGACGAAAAATCAACGCAAATCGACATGCAACGGATTAAAATTTTAACACGGGATAGGTTAATGTACTTTTTCGTACATAATCGGTTATCCGAAAAATAAGTTATCCGAACAACCCCAGTCCCCAATTGATTTGGATAAACGACACTCTACTGTAATTCTCAATGCAGAATTAGAATTTATTCTAAATAAATAAATTTGTTTCTTATGTTTGCACAATTTTTATCAAATTGCATTAAGGCTGCATTAATAAGCATCAATAACACAGCATTTTCATTTTGCCATATCACATTTTGGTTGATTATTAAAGAATCTCAACACAAATTTTTCTGATCTTATTCAATATACCAATAAGATAATGTGCCTCCTTTTGAAAGTGCCACAATGTAAATTTCATGCTGCAGCCAATTTTTTTGCTCAATGAACATTTTCAGTCTTTAAGCCTAACATATGTACAGTAAATTAAACTTTTATTATCAAATTTAAAAACATTAGCAGCAAGTTACATAACTTTCCTAGTGTAAAATATTTTTATGAAACCATCAACTCTTGCCCTCCTAGAACTGATTTTTTAATGTGTTATAGTACATTTATCTGACTAATACATGGTGAAGTAACTTGCCAATGCACAAGGGTTTGCAAGATACCATCATTTAAACGTTTTGTTGTTTTAGTTGGTTATATATCATAAGATTAAGACATTGGCCATTACATGCATTAGATTGAAGGCATCTGTATAATTTTACATCATAAACTAAAAACTAATTGCAGATATAAATTCTTTCCAATTTCAGAATCTAAGTCTGTTTCACATGCCTAGTAATTAATTGGGCATGGGATAGATTACTATCAGTTAATTATATTCATATATGCCAAAATAAGTGTTTTCAATCTACAACTCAATTATTAAAACTGCAATTTCATAGGAAAAAGCTAAATTTAATCTTTCATTATGCTTTGGTCTTGTCAAAAAACATGGCAAAAAATAATGAATAAACTAGTTCCTGGACTAGAGTAAATTCAATTCTTTTCCCATTGAAAATATCTAACAAGTAACTCATTAACCTCATAACTTCAATCCATATTGATATCCCCTCCTGGATAAAAACAATTCTTAAGCAGAATCCATCCAAAAGGTGGTAAACTGAATGGGACAATAGCATCACTGGTAGCATAATAAATAACATAAAAATTCATGTCAGATGTCTTAACTGCTAAAAGAACCAACCATTTCTCTCCCTCTTTCCACCTCAACCAGATGACTGGTCATAGCAATTTCAACACCTATCTTCATAAATTCAAGATTGGGGATGGACTATCGTGCTCAAATCTGGAAGCAGAGGATCCCCAACACAATTTACAATTGTACCAAGTATGACAATATCAGGCTTCAACTTATCACTAACTTACATGAGAGGGGCTCACCTGGCCAATCAATCTACATGCTTATTTGTAACAAGATAGTCCACAAGGCATTCTTGGACTCATCACATTTCTTAAGTAATTCACCACTGTATATTGGCAAGTGCCAAATCCGACAGAGGACGCTGTTTTTGAGCCAAGATGGCTGCCGAAACAGGTAAGGAACCGATCATTCTAGACTATATCGGCAACAGGAAACGTTGTCTTGTAGAAGGTGAAGCCGTTTTGGATATATGAGACATACACAAAAATACAAAACATACCAGTAATGTGTGCTACAAACTTTTGACTGGCCTATGTTGTGTAAGTGCTGAATGACTCAGCAGGGCAGCCTTCAGATTGGCACTAATTTTAACTATTATGATAAATAAAACTATGTTTTTATATTGGAACATGGTGTATACCGCTTAAAATATTTAAATAGTTCTCACCTATTAATGTGTAACAAACATGCTATCACATGTGTACAAAAACCAGACAGCCCTGCTTTGCACGTGCATTCTCCCTGAAATTGAGATGTATCAAAATGCCAATATCTGAGATTGCAACACTAAAGCAACAACATGAACTTCGGTGTTGTTGTTAGTTTAATCCACAAAATACAATGTGCCCAGCATCCAAAACGGCTTCACCTTCTATAAGACGTTTCCTGTCACCAATATACTGGTAGTCTAGAATTTGACATAAACTCAATGATTTGTTCTCCATTTATTCCTCGCAGTAGTTGTCACCGATAGAAACTGAATCGGCTCAGGCACTGAACAAACACATGGTCGGCTCCATACCTCTTTCGGCAGCCATCTTGGCTCAAAAACAGCACCATCTGTCGGATTTGGCGCCTGCCAATAACCACACATAATCATTGCTTTATACAGCCTTATAATATTACTCATAACCATCAAATCTTGCACGAGCAACTCTAACCCTTTTTGTTTCTGTATATCAAACCCAGCTTGGCATTCAGATATCCATTCTTCCACTTCCACCTCTATTAACCATCTCTTCTACACTATCAACCACTTTCCATGACTATAAGTGTGACTAACCCCTTTCTCTAAATAAATAAATGCATATTTATATTGTGCTAATAATTTATTTAATAGAAGAAAAAAAAAAAATTATGTAGAAAATGCCAAGGCAAAAACTATTTCCAATNTTCTGGTGGTTCCTTTGCAGTTGCAGATGTCTGTTCTGATAAGTACTGAGGACAGTTAGGTAGCTGTGAAGGGACAGCACCTGAAAAGAGGAAAAATCCCAGATACATGAGTATACTGCCAGAGAGTAGCACAAAGAATATAAATATTAACTCACAAAAACCTGTGTGCGTATATAAAAAACCTTACTGTAATAATATAAAAATAATCACAAGACAATGATTAGAACAAGAATAATAATATTAACTTGAATAAGCTACATATATATGTAAATATACCATGCAATATATTAGATAGTTATGGTGTTGTTGTTCTGGAATGCTATATGTAACCAACAATGTAACTTATTTTTCCAAAACGATTATGTCATTAGATTATCATTTTGAGATGAAGCAATATGGTAACTTTTATACATAATGCATAAATTAATTTTTTTATATAAATAAAACAATATATAAGTATTATTTCAACTGCATTGTCTTATTGTGATAAGTCCTAATGATACAGTGGACTTAGCATATCGTCCCTTTCCGGCAGTATATTAATTATATATATTTATTTATAATTATAATATATAACAAAACTTATATTAAGTGCTTGGGATTAAGGTACAGAGAGTAACAGAGAAGAACATTATCTTATCCTTGAGCTTTTGGTAGACACAAATCTTGACAGAAAATTGCTGGTATCCACTTTTGTCGCAATTCTTCATTTTTTGGAAAGGAAAATACATTCAATATTGGTCCGTTTTGACTGAGCATGAATGGAGCTTAGCAGCTATTAAGGTCAGAGGCGCCTTAGGGGGTGGCGAGCAGGGCAATTGGCCGGGGGCTCGCTCTTGCAGGGGCCTCGCGCAACAACCCGAGTAGAAAAAAGTTGATATTTAAAACTTTTTATTTTATCCTTAGCTATTAGTTATAACAATAAAATAAATTTGATTAATTCATAGTACAGTATATATTATTATTAATAAGTGCCTAAATAAAATTTTCTCATTTAGATTTATTCAATCTCACATTCATACAAATGTGAGATTAACGATATCAAAATTAATTAATTTATCAGTGAATAATATTTTTTGTAATTTGACTGTAAAACATATTTGAAAAATTTGTTAGAATACTATTTGAATCCTGTACCTCGCGCTTAGAAAATCCACTTGAACGTGCAGTTTTGTTACTTTCGTGATTCAT